AAAAAAAAAAAAAAAAATTTATGTGCAACTCCTCTTCCCTAAAGTTTCACAGAAAATTTATCATGACACTTCTCCATTGTCTATCATATTATAAATCTTATGAATCTAACGAGCAATCTGGAAAATTGACAGTTGGCTACATGCTGATGCGCACTATAGTCGGTGAATATGTAACTGCTGTTCTGTTTGTAATCAGGAAACATTGGTAAGCAGCTGCTGAGGCGTTGACTGCCGTGATCAAGTCCCAAAATACCCCGCTTGGACATATATGCTTTATCACTCACGAGCATCTAGGCCTGACATAGCTGCGTGAGAAAAAACTTCATCAGTCACTTTCTTTAAACAATGTTTTAAAAGAATTAACAACCAGAAACGCTTCCCATAAAGCACTAATAAGTGATGAAATAAAGATTGGCTGACATATTCCACTAAACAAAATTCATTACAAGGAGCAGCTTCCTAAACTATAACAAAAAGTTGATCAATTTCAATTTGTAGAAGAACCACTGGAAGGATTACAGCCACAATTTCTTGCTAGCAAAACCTATTCTCAAAAAAATGAAAAAAGAACTATTTCTAGCTTCACCATGAAAGCTCCCAAACATCTGTCAACAGCTTGGGAAGAAATGTCTAAGATGCGTCAGTGAACTTTTTCCACGTAAAAGAAACAAGTCCTTACAACCTTCTCAATCTTAAAAACCATGTTTATCGAATTTAACATTAGATTTTTAACCTATTTCTGCCAAACGTTTTGACACACAACCATCATATATTCGCTGAACTGAAGGCCCTAACGAATCAAAAATGAAACTTTTGGTATGCTCTACCCACTCCCTTCCAAACAGACGAATAAACTTCGCAAGTTCTGTTACCATTCACAAACGTTTCATTCCAGAGGCGGTCAGGCCAAATGAACATTATATGAACTCCCAGGTAGAAAAGCTTAACCCATTTTTTTAAAAAAGAAATAACCTGAAGGCATAGAATCATTAAAAATTACTGAGAAGATTACCTCATATTTCGTCAACTTGAGCTCTTCACCAAGCAGTTCACATGTAAAGTAAACATTCTGTATCACATTCGAATGTTCAAAACTCTGTTCATCAACTGTCTGGGCCACGTAGTCCGTCTTCGCTGGTTCGTTCTTGCCAGCCAAAATGTCGGCCTCCTCTCGTTCTTTCTCCAGTTCTCTCAGTGCCTAATGAACATAAACAAATAATAAGAATAAGATTTGTATCAAATTGCAAAAACAATTTATTGGAAATAAAAAAACCGCATCACTTTCAAAAAAAACCCAAATCGCTCAACAACACTTGTATTTCGCAAGCTTCCACCTCTTACTATTTTGCCATAAACCAGCACGTCATCCTATTACAACTATGCACAACGTAAACCTTCAGCACATCATTTCAGTGAGCAACTAACTCCACCGCTTTTTCAATTCCATTTATATTATTAATAATATTTTCCGAGAAACTATACCAGTCTCACTCTTAATGAAGCTCAAATGATAGCCCTAAACAAGTACTCTTCATCTCTTCAGTGCTTCTTAATTTTTCAGCCTCTTCTAACCAGTACTCATGGCATGCTGTGCGTACAAGTGTAAGCATCGCAATTTCACAAAAAAAACTGCTTTATATGCAGTTTAATGAATGGATGAGACATATCTGGAACAATGCTATCTCCTTTTAAATATTTATTTCCAGAATGCCCAAGCTTCGTTCGTGAGAATATTAACGCACTAGAGAATCACAGGCCCTTAAAAATACCTTATTTTTCAGGAACCTTAATTTATGATTTAAAAATGCCTCAAGTTGATATTCTACTTTGAACATCCTCTACTTCATTACAGCAATCAATATGTTACGTATTTCCCTAATTTCCCGACATCAGCAGTCTATCTTGCAGTAAAGTACTCACCTTTTCCTTTGAACTGACACTTCAAAACACAACAAAGTATGTTCAATAAAAAAATAATTCCTAAAACAAGAATCTTCTTTTCCAACTTTCTTGTTCGTATTACTTCAATTAATAAAAAACGCCGAACTAACAGATAACCGGTAGACTGAGACAGATGTCACTCTCAATTGGAACTCAGTCCCTTAACTTTCATCCTTTTGAAAAGCTGGCGCACACACCTTCCAATCGCTTTTTTTTCTACTCTGATTACTTCAACTTTCTATTGATCCCATCGGTCCAAAACTTTACCACAAAAAAAAAATTTTTTCATTTTTTTTCAAAAACAACCAATTATGGCTGTAAGTGTAAAGTGGCATTGCAAAGGTACATTTAACTCTGTTAATATCTCCCTTCAGTTAACAAAACTTGAAGAAACTTCGTCTACCAAACTTGCTAAATGAAGCTGAACAATAAAGAGATTTCAGATTAAAAGCGAGTGTATCAGGTAAATTACAACGGAACCTTAAGTCTTATATTACGCTGTGTAGCTGTTTCCTGTTTCACTCCCACATTCATCCTCTTATATGCTGCTTGTGCTGCAAAATCTGCTGACGCGACGCGTTCACTAATCAAAAATGCACCCTAAAATACAGCACAAGGATGAAGACCACTGCACCACCAAGGCCATAAAAAATTTATAATAAACCTTTGAAGTTGAACTGGCTTCTCTCCTGACAGAACTCGTTGGACTTACTGTATAACCTGTACCTACCACAGTACCGTCATTTAATTTTCGTCCTGGACCAGCTTTCTTGAAATTGTCCTTCACTTTCTTCTTTTTTAAGAATTCTTTTAAACGATTCATACTGAAGATGAAGCTATTCTTCTTTGCTCTCCGTAGCTTCTAAAAACCTTATTAACAAAACTTACACGGAGAGTATATGGTCACTTCTGTATGATCTAACCCATGCAAACAGTAGAAAACAGACTATCACAATTAAATGAGAGCAGCAAATTCAAATATAAAATTTAACGCCTTGAAAACCATAAAACAGAACATACAGGTTGGAAACATATTAACAAGTAATAAAATTAAACTGCGTCAGGAAAAGGCATAATTTCTCATAGAAACTGAAGATAACTTCAACCTTTTTCGTTTCTTGATTTCTCTTTCCTTTCTTCCTCGAAAAAGAGAATGATGGTTTTCGAATAACGCCTCCACGCCAAAGAAGTAAGACAAACGTTAACGTAAATTAAAGTTAGGAGCAGCAAACCAACCAAAAGCTAAAAGTTTTACAAACAACTTCATTAAATTCTGGAATTAAAATAAAAAAATGGAAAAAACTGAGAAAAACAAACTTTTTTAAAAATAATCTGAAAAATGATTTCGCAACAAAAATGGGCCAAATTTTTTTGTTCCAGTGAATCGGAATAGACAACATGTACGATTCCACTCCAAGCATTCAACAAAATATCACCCGTCAATTTTTAGAGCACTTATTCGCAAGTATCAGAATCAGGTGTCGCCTACACGTGAAATCTAACGATCGGCTGTGTCTATCCACTTCAAGAGCAGTTCTTCCAAACAGTTCCGGAAGGGACAAGGCTTA